TCTTCTACGGCGCTGGGCTAGTGTGGAGGATAGGTGACAACCCCCCCCCCCCCTAGGCCTAGTAATGGCCCAGTAAAGGTCGAACGTTACCCCAACTTTTGGGGCAATCGTCGAAATGTTGTTGTCATCCTTGGAACCTGTTGGTACAAGCGTCGGCTCAACGTTTCATGTTCACAGCCGAAAGGGCAGCACCATCAGTTTCACCTTAATTGTTGAATACTCACAAACCGACCGACGGCTCACGCGGACAGCTCACGTGCTTGGTTGCCTCTAAACTTTCAATTATTTTCTACCCAGTGATCAATTTCCATCCGCGCGGCGTGAGCAGAGACCGGTTCTGCAGTAACTCTACCAGGTGGCTTTATCATCCTCCTTAAAACAACATGAGGATGGCCGAGGCATCATTCCACGACCAAGCTTCATTATTTGCATTATTTCTGTGCAGACGTGGAGCGAACGAATCCGATCATTCTGTCCCCAATTTTTTTCTCTGCCCCCCGTCTCCTCTCGGATGATGGGCGCAGCCACTCCGCCGTCGACCAAAAGCTCCTCAGAAATTAAATAAGAAATCTGAAATCTTTACGTCGGCTGGAAGAATCCAGTGAAGCTTGTGAAGCTCCTTTTTTCCGCACGGATGTCCAGTTTGGGGGGTCGGGTCGGGTCAGAAAATGGCAACAAACAATAGAACAAAAAGGCTCAGAGTACAAAGTATAGGAAAACCAAGTAAGTCGCAAAATTAAAATAAAACTACAGTAGACTCTCGATTACCTGCGCTAATGACGGGAAGGACGACCACGGATAATTCGAATTCGCGGAAAATCATAAATTATAACCATTGTCCACGAATCTCTATGGCAAAAACCACTAATATATTCATAAGCCTACATGTTAAACTGACCACTAATATAGTTGTACATTAAGTTTACATTAAGAAAATAGAGTTTGTCATCACTGCGGGTGCTCAGAAGACTCGGCCCACTGAGTGGATGACAGCAGAGCCAAGCCAATCAAAATCAATCAAACTCTGCCTACCGTTGTAAATATATTGCAACTACTGTACTGTAGAGGCGATCACGCGGATTTCGGATTAACCGAGTGGTGCATCTCCTCAACATCGAATCCACGTACAAAATTACAAAAGTATTTTTGACGCACCCCTTCGGCCGCACGGCCTTTCATTCCTGGGGGTGGGTGCATCATTTCAGCGACGTTGATTCATGACGGAGCAAGCCTCTGGACATGGTTTTGACGCATCAGTGTCTCACCAGCAGAGTTAGGCTCTCCAAAAACAGTGCTGGTGAGCCGCCAATTTTACACGGGGGGGAAGGGGGGTGGTCTTAGTGTGACGCTAAAATTATACAGGGACTCCTCTACTTACGAACATTCGACTGAGGAACCTTCAGAGATACGAAAAAACCTGTCATTTTGTCCAGTTGCCCATTTGGACCGAGAGTCCTAAGTTAAACCTCCGCGCAATAGATGTCGGTGGTGGCATCTACATCTGCAGAACGTGAAGAACCAGTGGCATCTACATCTGCAGAACGTTACGAACCAGTGGCGTCTACATCTGCAGAACGTTTAGAACCAATGGCATCTACATCTGCAGAACGTGAAGAACCAGTGGCATCTACATCTGCAGAACATGAAGAACCAGTGGCATCTACATCTGCAGAACGTTAACAACCAGTGGCATCTACATCTGCAGAACGTGAAGAACCAGTGGCATCTACACCTGCAGAACGTTAAGAACCAGTGGCATCTACATCTGCAGAACGTTAAGAACCAGTGGCATCTACATCTGCAGAACATGAAGAACCAGTGGCATCTACATCTGCAGAACATGAAGAACCAGTGGCATCTACATCTGCAGAACGTTAAGAACTAGTGGCATCTACATCTGCAGAACGAGAAGAACCAGTGGCATCTACATCTGCAGAACGAGAAGAACCAATGACATCTACATCTGCAGATCATGAAGAACCAGTGGCATCTACATCTGCAGAACATGAAGAACCAGTGGCATCTACATCTGCAGAACGTTAAGAACCAGTGGCATCTACATCTGCAGAACGAGAAGAACCAGTGGCATCTACATCTGCAGAACAATCAGTGGCATCTACATCTGCAGAACGTTACGAACCAGTGGCATCTACATCTGCAGAACGTTACGAACCAGTGGCATCTACATCTGCAGAACGTTTAGAACCAATGGCATCTACATCTGCAGAACGTGAAGAACCAGTGGCATCTACATCTGCAGAACATGAAGAACCAGTGGCATCTACATCTGCAGAACGTTAACAACCAGTGGCATCTACACCTGCAGAACATGAAGAACCAGTGGCATCTACACCTGAAGAACGTTAAGAACCAGTGTCATCTACATCTGCAGAACGTTAAGAACCAGTGGCATCTACATCTGCAGGACATGAAGAACCAGTGGCATCTACATCTGCAGAACATGAAGAACCAGTGGCATCTACATCTGCAGAACGTTAAGAACTAGTGGCATCTACATCTGCAGAACGAGAAGAACCAGTGGCATCTACATCTGCAGAACGAGAAGAACCAGTGACATATACATCTGCAGAACATGAAGAACCAGTGGCATCTACATCTGCAGAACATGAAGAACCAGTGGCATCTACATCTGCAGAACGTTAAGAACCAGTGGCATCTACATCTGCAGAACGAGAAGAACCAGTGGCATCTACATCTGCAGAACAATCAGTGGCGTCTACATCTGCAGAACATGAAGAACCAGTGGCATCTACATCTGCAGAACAATCAGTGGCGTCTACATCTGCAGAACGTGAAGAACCAGTGGCATCTACAACTACAGGAGATTATACAACTTTTAAAGCCATTCCCAATGTTTAGTGTACACGGCGTACAATGTGTTTAGAATCGATGAAAGTAAAGTTGGTCTTACGAAGAAATCGATTTACGAATAAACCTATGGAAGTTTATCATGTAGGCTTTCACAATCAATATAATCCATAAAAAACAGTTTTTTTTTAGTTAGTACTCATTGGTCTTTTCAGTACTTTAATATATTATTATTTTTGGGTTAGATCACGTAAATATATAAATGTGTCGTTAAACCCGCCACCACCTGACACAGCCAATTAGCAACGTTTGTCACGTTAACAGAATATGCCAATTAATTAATCGTACAGCACACCGGTGTGTTGGAGAGCCAAACCACAACATTTACAAATTGTAAATGTATTTTCCCCGCACCTCGTTGGGAAAATTGCGCGCGTTATTTTTCACGAATGACCAAATATGCAAATAATAAATTATATAACTAATAATATGATCTTACTCATCTATCCAGGAGAGACACCCAGGGCTCAGAAGGCTCCTGCTGCTGCCGCTGCTGCTGCTGCTACGTTGGGATGTTTACGAGTGAGACGTTTTCAGCCAATTAGCAATGTTGAGTGGTTGTGTTCATAATTATCCACGTGGGGGGAGGAGGCGAGCGAAGCACCTGGAGACGACCCCATGCCTCGCGCGAGGGGGTGACGTTCGATCCCGCCGCGTACAGGCGGAACAGATGGCGATTAGTCCACAACTTGCTGTGCTGCCTTCTGCTGGCGAGCCAGCAGCACGGCACCTCGACACACACCGGTGTGCTGCACTAGTAACGACTTGGCATGTTCTGTTTACGTGACAAACCTTACTCATTGGCTATGTCAGGTGGTGGCGGGTTTAATGACACATTTATATTTTTACGCGACCTAACCCAAAAAAACATCCATTGCGGATGATATTGGTCACGAAAACCTCCTACGTGTTGAACGTGTAGAAGGGAGTTTCACAACAACATCCGTGTGATCGGTGATCCACCAACCCCTCCACCACCACCGCTACAACCACGACCGCCATTGCCATCACCACCGCACCACCGCCACCGCCGTCATGGTCACCGCCGCCACCACCACCACCACCGTCACCACCGCTGCCACCGGCAATGCCACCATCACCACCACCACCACCACCGTCACCACCGCCGCCACCGGCAATGCCACCAGCACCACCGCCACCACCGCCGCCGCCGCCACGGCCACCACCGCCGCCACCGCCACCGCCATGGCCACCACTGCCGCCATCGATACCACCACCACCACGAACACGGCCACCACCGCCGCCACCGCCACCACCGCCGCCACCGGAACCGCCGCCACCGCCACCCATTGACGCGACTACTCAAGCCAGATACGGCCACACCCAAGTTAACGTTGGAGATGCATTGCCTGAACGGCGTCGATCGAAGCGGTGTAACAGGGTAGGCAGCAGCGGCGGCGGCGGCGGGTGGTTGGTGATGGTGGTTGGTGATGGTGGTTGGTGATGGTGGTTGGTGATGGTGGTGGTGGTTGGTGATGGTGGTTGGTGATGGTGGTGGTTGGTGATGGTGGTGGTTGGTGATGGTGGTTGGTGATGGTGGTTGGTGATGGTGGTTGGTGGTGGTGGTGGAGACGACGGCTGAGAGGCGCCGGACAGCGAGGGAGGAGGCGCGAGGAGGATGGCGACGGCGCTGCCGGCGACGGCGCTGCCGGCGACGCGTGCGCGGGTTGGGGTTCGAGGCGACGCTCAGCGAGAGGCGGCGGCGTGCGAATTGAGGCGGGGACGGAGTCGGAGAAAACGACGCTCGTGGGTGACAGGGACGGTCGGGGCTAGCGCTGTGCATACGTCCGGCCTGTCCCGCGCATGCGAGTTACCCCACGGAACCTCGACCTGGTGTGGGCCACCCCTAGCTCGATTTGACCTAAAACGTTTTTTGACCGCCCCTCCCCACCAGGTTCGATTTAAACGCGACGGGGCGATCGTGGAGGCACAGGGGGACGCGGTGGCGGTGCCCTCCTCCCCCTCCTCCCTCCTCACCAATCCCCGTGGCCGGCCCCGGACTAAAGAGGTGAACGACGAGGAGGAGCAGGAGGAGATGGCGATGGCGGACGCGGAGAAGATGGACGACGGCGGTGGTGGTGATGATGGAGGTGATGGTGACGACGATGATGGTGGTGATGATGACGGTTATGATGGGGATAGTGACAATGATGGTGACGTTAATGGTGACGGTGATGGTGCCGATTACGGTGATGGCGATGGCTGTGGGTGGATTGGCCGGTGCCTGAAGAGAACAGACAGTCTGAGCGTCAACGCTGTCTCTACGATCCAAGCTGTTTTTAATTTAACGGGTAAGGTCCAATGCTCTATATAGAAACTCTTTTTTAGAAGCGACCGGGCGGCAAATGACAGCTCAACGTAGCGGCTTATCACGTGTAAATATATAGCGGCCAAATAGTTTAAACGCACGTTTCTAATTGTGGAGGGAAAAACCGGAAGACCCGGAGAAAAATCCACGCGACCACCGGGAGAGAGACACACAAACTGCAAATATACAGCAGGCGTCAGGCTCGAGATCGAACCCACGATCTCCTGGACACCAGGAGAGAGAGATAACATCTCGACACCGTGGCGCCCTGTCTACAGCGCTGAGGGAGATGAGAGGGCCGGGGAACCTGTGGCTAGGGTTAGTGTTAGAGCTGGTACTAGTGGCTGGTTGGCTAGGGGTTAGTGTTAGTGGTAGAGCTGGTGGTAGTGGCTGGTTGGCTAGGGGTAGTGGTAGGGGTAGAGCTGGTGCTAGTGGCTAGTTGGCTAGGGTAGTGTTAGGGGTAGAGCTGGTACTAGTGGCTAGTTGGCTAGGGGTTAGTGTTAGGGGTAGAGCTGGTGCTAGTGGCTGCCTGGCTAGGGGTAGTAGTAGGGGTAGAGCTGGTACTAGTGGCTAGTTGGCTAGGGGTAGTGGTAGGGGTAGAGCTGGTACTAGTGGCTGGTTGGCTAGTGTTAGTATAAGGGGTAGAGTTGGTAATAGTGGCTGGTTGGCTAGGGGTAGTATTAGGGGTAGAGCTGGTACTAGTGGCTAGTTGGCTAGGGGTAGTGTTAGGGGTAGAGCTGGTACTAGTGGCTGGTTGGCTAGGGGTAGTGGTAGGGGTAGAGCTGGTGGTAGTGGCTGGTTGGCTAGGGGTAGTGGTATGGGTAGAGCTGGTACTAGTAGCTGGTTGGCTAGGGGTAGTGTTAGGGGTAGAGCTGGTACTAGTGGCTGGTTGGCTAGGAGTAGGGTTAGGGTAGAGTTGGTACTAGTGGCTGGTTGGCTAGGGTAAGTGTTAGGGATATAGCTGGTACTAGTGGCTGGTTGGCTAGGGGGTAGTGTTAGGGGTAGAGTTGGTACTAATGGCTGGTTGGCTAGGGGTAGTGTTAGGGTAGAGCTGGTACTAGTGGCTGGTTGGCTAGGGGTAGTGGTAGGGGTAGAGCTGGTACTAGTGGCTGGTTGGCTAGGGGTAGTGGTAGGGGTAGAGCTGGTACTAGTGGCTGGTTGGCTAGGGGTAGTGTTAGGGGTAGAGCTGGTACTAGTGGCTGGTTGGCTAGGGATAGTGTTAGGGGTAGAGCTGGTACTAGTGGCTGGTTGGCTAGGGGTAGTGTTATGGATAGAGCTGGTACTAGTAGCTGGTTGGCTAGGGGTAGTGTTAGGGGTAGAGCTGGTACCAGTGGCTGGTTGGCTAGGGGTAGTGTTAGGGTAGAGCGGGTACTAGTGGCTGGTTGGCTAGGGGTAGTGTTAGGGGTAGAGCTGGTACTAGTGGCTGGTTGGCTAGGGGTAGTGTTAGGTATAGAGCTGGTACTGGTAGCTGGTTGGCTAGGGGTAGTGTTAGGGGTAGAGCTGGTACTAGTGGCTGGTTGGCTAGGGGTAGTGTTAGGGTAGAGCTGGTACTAGTGGCTGGTTGGCTAGGGGTAGTGGTAGGGGTAGAGCTGGTTCTAGTGGCTGGTTGGTTAGGGGTAGTGTTAGGGGTAGAGGTGGTACTAGTGGCTGGTTGGCTAAGGGTAGTGTTAGGGTAGAGCTGGTACTATTGGCTGGTTGGCTAGGGGTAGTGGTAGGGGTAGAGCTGGTACTAGTGGCTGGTTGGCTAGGGGAAGTGTTAGGGGGAGAGCTGGTACTAGTGGCTGGTTGGCTAGGGGTAGTGTTAGAGGTAGAGCTGGTACTAGTAGCTGGTTGGCTAGGGGTAGTGGTAGGGGTAGAGCTGGTACTAGTGGCTGGTTGTCTGGGGTTAGTGTTAGGGGTAGAGCTGGTACTAGTGGCTGGTTGTCTGGTGGTATTATTAGGGGTATAGCTGGTACTAGTGGCAAGTTGGCTAGGGGTTAGTGTTAGGGGTAGAGCTGGTGCTAGTGGCTGGTTGGCTAGGGATAGTGTTAAGGGTAGAGCTGGTACTAGTGGCTGGCTAGGGGTAGTGTTAGGGGTAGAGTTGGTGCTAGTGGCTGGTTGGCTAGGGGTAGTGTTAGGGGTAGAGTTGGTGCTAGTGGCTGGTTGGCTAGGGGTAGTGTTAGGGGTAGAGCTGGTACTAGTGGCTGGTTGTCTAGGGGTAGTGTTAGGGTTAGAGTTGATGCTAGTGGCTGGTTGGCTAGAGGTAGTGTTAGGGGTAGAGTTGGTGCTAGTAGCTGGTTGACTAGGGGTAGTGTTAGGGGTAGAATTGGTGCTAGTGGCTGGTTGTCTGCGGTAGTGTTAGGGGTAGAGCTGGTGCTAGTGGCTGGTTGACTAGGGGTAGTGTTAGGGGTAGAGCTGGTGCTAGTGGCTGGTTGACTAGGGGTAGTGTTAGGGGTAGAGCTGGTACTAGTGGCTGGTTGGCTAGGGGTAGTGGTAGGGGTAGAGCTGGTACTAGTGTCTGGTTGGCTAGGGGTAGGGGTAGAGCTGGTACTAGTAGCTGGTTGGCTAAGGGTAGTGTTAGGGTAGAGCTGGTACTAGTGGCTGGTTGGATAAGGGTAATGGTATGGGTAGAGCTGGTACTAGTGGCTGGTTGGCTAGGGGTAGTGTTAGGGGTAGAGCTGGTACTAGTGGCTGGTTGGCTAGGGGTAGTGTTAGGGGTAGAGCTGGTACTAGTGGCTGGTTGGCTAGGGGTAGTGTTAGGTGTAGAGCTGGTACTAGTGGCTGGTTGGCTAAGGGCAGTGTTAGGGTAGAGCTGATACTAGTGGCTGGTTGGCTAGGGGTAGTGGTAGGGGTAGAGCTGGTACTAGTGGCTGGTTGGCTAGGGGTAGTGTTTGGGGTAGAGCTGGTACTAGTGGCTGGTTGGCTAGGGGTAGTGGTAGGGATAGAGCTGGTACTAGTAGCTGGTTGGCTAGGGGTAGTGTTAGGGGTAGAGCTGGTACTAGTGGCTGGTTGGCTAGGGGTAGTGTTAGGGTAGAGCTGGTACTAGTGGCTGATTGGCTAGGGGTAGTGGTAGGGGTAGAGCTGGTACTAGTGGCTGGTTGGCTAGGGGTAGTGTTAGGGGTAGAGCCGGTACTAGTGGCTGGTTGGCTAAGGGTAGTGTTAGGGTAGAGCTGGTACTATTGGCTGGTTGGCTAGGGGTAGTGGTAGGGGTAGAGCTGGTACTAGTGGCTGGTTGGCTAGGGGTAGTGTTAGGGTTAGAGCTGGTACTAGTGGCTGGTTGGCTAGGGTTAGTGTAGGGGTAGAGCTGGTGCTCGTGGCTGGTTGCCTAGGGTTAGTGTAGGGGTAGAGCTGGTGCTAGTGGCTGGTTGGCTAGGGGTAGTGTTAGGGGTAGAGTTGGTGCTTGTGGATCGTTGGCTAGTGGTAGTGTTAGGGGTAGAGTTGGTGCTAGTGGCTGGTTGGCTAGGGGTAGTGTTAGGGGTAGAGCTGGTACTAGTGGCTGGTTGTCTAGGGGTAGTGTTAGGGTTAGAGTTGATGCTAGTGGCTGGTTGGCTAGAGGTAGTGTTAGGGGTAGAGTTGGTGCTAGTAGCTGGTTGACTAGGGGTAGTGTTAGGGGTTGAATTGGTGCTAGTGGCTGGTTGTCTGGGGTAGTGTTAGGGGTAGAGCTGGTGCTAGTGGCTGGTTGACTAGGGGTAGTGTTAGGGGTAGAGCTGGTGCTAGTGGCTGGTTGACTAGGGGTAGTGTTAGGGGTAGAGCTGGTACTAGTGGCTGGTTGGCTAGGGGTAGTGGTAGGGGTAGAGCTGGTACTAGTGTCTGGTTGGCTAGGGGTAGTGGTAGGGGTAGAGCTGGTACTAGTAGCTGGTTGGCTAAGGGTAGTGTTAGGGTAGAGCTGGTACTAGTGGCTGGTTGGATAAGGGTAATGGTATGGGTAGAGCTGGTACTAGTGGCTGGTTGGCTAGGGGTAGTGTTAGGGGTAGAGCTGGTACTAGTGGCTGGTTGGCTAGGGGTAGTGTTAGGGGTAGAGCTGGTACTAGTGGCTGGTTGGCTAGGGGTAGTGTTAGGTGTAGAGCTGGTACTAGTGGCTGGTTGGCTAAGGGCAGTGTTAGGGTAGAGCTGATACTAGTGGCTGGTTGGCTAGGGGTAGTGGTAGGGGTAGAGCTGGTACTAGTGGCTGGTTGGCTAGGGGTAGTGTTTGGGGTAGAGCTGGTACTAGTGGCTGGTTTGCTAGGGGTAGTGGTAGGGATAGAGCTGGTACTAGTAGCTGGTTGGCTAGGGGTAGTGTTAGGGGTAGAGCTGTTACTAGTGGCTGGTTGGCTAGGGGTAGTGTTAGGGTAGAGCTGGTACTAGTGGCTGGTTGGCTAGGGGTAGTGGTAGGGGTAGAGCTGGTACTAGTGGCTGGTTGGCTAGGGGTAGTGTTAGGGGTAGAGCCGGTACTAGTGGCTGGTTGGCTAAGGGTAGTGTTAGGGTAGAGCTGGTACTATTGGCTGGTTGGCTAGGGGTAGTGGTAGGGGTAGAGCTGGTACTAGTGGCTGGTTGGCTAGGGGTAGTGTTAGGGTTAGAGCTGGTACTAGTGGCTGGTTGGCTAGGGTTAGTGTAGGGGTAGAGCTGGTGCTCGTGGCTGGTTGCCTAGGGTTAGTGTAGGGGTAGAACTGGTGCTAGTGGCTGGTTGGCTAGGGGTAGTGTTAGGGGTAGAGTTGGTGCTTGTGGATCGTTGGCTAGTGGTAGTGTTAGGGTAGAGTTGGTACCAGTGGCTGGTTGGCTAGGGTTAGTGTTAGGGGTATAGCTGGTACTAGTGGCTGGTTGGCT